GCGGACAACGGGCACGTGGCCGCCGTTCTCATGGAGCACCTGGCCAAACTCAGCGCGGCTGGGATCCACAGGGTCGCGGGCGGTGGCTTCGACATAGAGCCCGCGAAGTTTCCTGGGCAGCAGCTCCACGGGGCCCGCGGGCTGTAGGCGGCGGCAGTGGGCGCCGCCTGCAGGCCGCGTGCTGGGGCCTGGTCGACGCTGGACTGCGGAGGGCCTTAGCAGTATCGAGCTCGACTCCGAGCTGCTTGCAGATATAGAGCGGAAGCTTTCTGTGACAGTGGGCGTGGCTGATGTCAAGGACGCCTTCCATCGTTTACGGATGCCGCAGTTCCTGAGACGGTACTTCTGCTCCCCGCCCGTCCGCAGCGGCGCCGTGGGCTTGAGTGGCCGAGAGGTGGAGGGCCAGGCATTGACAGGCAACGAGCTGGTGTGGCCTTGCCCCGTGGCGTTCCCGATGGGCTTCTCTTGGGGCCTTTTCTTCTGCCAGGTGTCCGGCGAGGAGCTCGCTGGCAGCGCGGCGTCGCTGGGGGCAGAGGCCCTGCTCCGCGACCGCGGGAGGCCGTTGATGCTTGATGGAGAGCGGCAAGGCTCCCTTCGGCACGCAAGCGGTCAGTATGAAGCGGCCCTTGCGGCGCAGCAAAAGGAGTGGGTCAAGCGGGCCAACGAGTAGTCCTTCTCCCACGGCGCTGGCCGCGCCCATCGGTGCTGCAAGGTCAGGGACTTGGATGGGGGTGATCACGGCCTGGCACGGCCAGCAGCAGGACGCGAGCCCGCACCTGGTGCGCGATCGGGAGATGCAGCCGCGGGCAAAGGCGCGGCGGTGCCATGGGCTGCAGCAGCCGCGCAGGCCTGCGGACATTGAGGAGTGGGAAGCGCTACCCGAACTCACCGTCGACAAGGTGAAGAGGGCTGCGCTCTCATTCCCCACGGGCGCGACGATGGGGCCTGCCAAGATAGGCACGCGTGCCCTGTCATTCCTGTCCGAGGACGGCATGTATGTTTGCGCGCAGCCTTTCATGCGCATGGGGAAGTTGGGCGCGTGGCCTGAGGGCCGCTTGCGGCGCGCCATGCGTCGGCTGCCCAAGCCCTCGCCCTCGGGGGGGTGCCGCCTCATCGCGCCCGTGCACTACGCCGGGCCCTGGGCGAATCACCGCTGCTCCCAGGTTCCCGCCACGCGTCGCGGGGCCTGGGCGCGCTCGCAGCGGCCGAAGATCTTCGCCCCGGCACCGACGTCGAGCAACTGGCGGTCGGCCACTTCCGCCCCTCGGATTCGGCGTCGCCAACGCGCGGGCGGAGCGGGCCGCGGCGCCCCCCACGCCCCGAAAGGGCCCAGTGCAGAGCGGTCCTGGGCCCCAGGGCTTGGAGCAGGCTTGGGCGCAGCCAGTTCCTAGCTTCGGGCCGCGGCCCCGCGGTGCCCGGCGATTTCGTCACGGAGGGGCTCGACTGGGACGGGGGGCTCTGCTCTCCGGCTGAGGCAGCGCGATGCCTGGTAGAGGAAGGGATCAGGCGCGCAGTGACGCGCGCGTTGAAGACTCAGCTGTCTGGATCGGAGCAGACCCCAGCGGGCGCGGCCCCTCCGCCCTGGGGCTTCACCTGATGCGCGCGGGCGCCACCGGCCTGGCTCGCGGCCCGCTCTCTGCGCGCCGCCCGCGCGGCACGGCTAGGGCTCGCTCCGGCGCCCAAGGCGGCCGGCGCCCCCCCGACTGCAGAGGCAGGCCCCGGCAACCGCCTGGGACGTTACCAGCGTCCTCCTTAAACGTCGCCGCGCCACCAGTCTGGCGGAGCAACGAAGGCCCCGCCGATTTTCAGCTCCGACCTGATCGCGCCCACAGGCGCTAAGCTTAGGAGGTGCGGCCACGCCGGCGAAACTAACCGCGCCGACGATTGGGGGGCGCGCGCGCGAGGCACGGGCGAAGTCAGCGGGTCAAAGCGGCCGACAAATCCAACGTCGCCCACCTTCGCACCCAGCGCAACGCGCCCTCGCGCGCGCCGCCAAGCACCGACGGGGGCGAAGATCCCAATGTCAGTTGCCCAGCTGATCGCGCGGGCGACACGGGCTCCCAGCCGCGCTGACTTGAGCAATTCCGTTTCGGACAACGCAAGTGACTCGGACGAGTGCGCCCCGCTGGGGCCAAGTCAGAACGCTATCCTGGCCAGCGCCAGAGCCGCGCTCGAACTCGCGGCGGACGCGTGGGGGCCCATCCTGGACAGATACGTGAGCATTGTTTCACGCGCTGGCGAAGCCCACCCCCCGCGGGGAAGACGCTGGCGCGGATTGCTACTGGGAACTCCCTGACTTGGCACCAGCTCAAGCGTTCGCCCTGATTATGAGGCTTCCATCCGCGCGATTCGCGCCCGCCCCGCCGCCGGGGCCGGGGGCCCGGGCGGGTGGGCCGCTAAAGAGGCCAAAGCGCACCCCGACGGAGTCTTCTGCCTTGTCGCTAAATCATCAGCGGCCATGCAGCGCATCGGTCGAGTTCCAGAGCCTCCTGCGCAAGCCAAACCCATGCCTGCGGAATGGGGAAGGGGAGCGCACCGCTGACCAACGGCTCCCTTCCGTCGCGCCCCTCTGGGAGCGAGCCCGGGAAGTGCCGGCCCACCGCGGCCCGGCTGCTTGGAGAGCCCGCCGGGCCCGCCGCATAGCTTCGGGGCGGCCCCGCGCGCCGCAACAGGGGGCGTCGGCGCGACCCTGGCGCCCCAGCATGAGAGCGCGCGCCGCCCAAATTCCCTCGGCAGGGGCAGCGTTAGACCGGCCGAGTCGTTTCGACCACCTCGTCACGGACATCTGCCCTACACAGGCGCCGCATGCGGGGCGCCCGCCCGACGTCGCTGTGTCTGTGTCTGTGTCTATGTCTGTGTGTCTGTGTCTCTGTGTCTCTGTGTCTCTGTGTCTCTGTGTCTCTGTGTCTCTGTGTTTCTTTGTCTCTGTGTCTCTGTGTCTGTGTGTGTGTCTGTGTGTGTCTGTGTGTCTCTGTGTCTCTGTTTCTCTGTGTCCCTGTGTCTGTGTGTCTCTCTGTGTATGTCTGTGTGTGTTTTTGTGTTGTTTCCCCCCTCGCTCTCCCCCCTCGTTTTCCTCCTCCTCGTCGTGCTCAGTGTGTGCCTCCTCTTGTCGCTCTTGCTCCACCGCCCCCTCACTGCCCCCTGAGTCCGGCCCCTCCCCTTCCCTTTGTTCCCTTTTTCAAACTTCCGGCGGCGACGGAATATCCCCCAGCAACCCTTCGCGGCTTCCCGTGCAGGCGCCCATCGCCATCGACAAGCCGAAGATTGCATAGGCCCGCTCGGCGGTGTCATCCTTCCCCGGGCCGATTTCCCCCGAAGAGCTGTGCGTGTCCAGAGATTGCATTGCAGTGTTCCCAGCCAGTGTCTGGCAGCCTCGTGAAGCGTCGGCAAGCCTGGATAGCAAGACTACAGGGGGCATGGTCGACCCCCAGAACGTTCGCAGCATTCAGCGGCCCATCTGTTTTAGCATGCATCGGACGGCCTGCTTGGAGGAGAGGAGAATTGTATTCAGGAGGAGAAAAATCATACAGACAATCGCCGAATCCTCAGAAATATAGGAAAATATGGTAAGCGGAAGGGAAGACAAAAATCCAACAATTATGTGAATTCATTGGATATCCTGTAATTTGTGCGTATTCTCTTGCACAGCTGTGCTCTAGAGCTCGGACATCTTTATTTTCGTGTCGTGTCGTATCGTTCGTCCCCCCTGCCCCCCCCCTGCCCCCCCCCGTCCAGGCTCCCCAGGGCAGCCCCCCTGGGCCTCCCGTCCAGGCTCCCCAGGGCAGCCCCCCTGGGCCTCGGACACCTTTATTTTCGTGTCGTGTCGTGTCGTTCGTCCCCCTGCCCCCCCCCCCCCTGCCCCATCCCCGCCCAGGCTTCCCAGGCTCTTGGGGAGCCACTGGTCCTGGTCCTGGCCTCCCTGGCCCCGCTGGCTCTGGTGTCCTGGACCCAGCCTCCCCCCCCACGGCCCTGGCCACAAAAAGTGAATTCCTGGAGGAAGGAGGCGAAAGCTTCCTGCCTCCAGCAGCTCCTTTGTGCAAGAGCCAGGGCACGCGTGCCACTTGTTTTCGTGTCGTGTCGTGTCGTTCGTCCCCCTGCCCCCCCCCTGCCCCCCCGTCCAGGCTCCCCAGGGCAGCCCCCCTGGGCCTCGGACACCTTTATTTTCGTGTCGTGTCGTGTCGTTCGTCCCCCTGCCCCCCCCCTCTGCCCCCCCCCGCCCAGGCTTCCCAGGGCAGCCCCCCTGAGCCTCGGACACCTTTGTGCAAGAGCCAGGGCACGCGTGCCACTTGTTTATTTGTGTGTCCCTGGGCCCCTTCATGAACGCCAATGGCGTCGTCCCCCGAGTGCACAAAGGAAGGTGATGCTAAAACGGCTGATGCTTCGAGAGGCACGGACCTCGGCCAGCAGCAAGACGGTTGAGCTACGTTGAGGTCGGGCATGTCCTCCTAGAGGCGGACTTGGGAGGACAGAAATAGTCAACAGACATTCAAAAATAGGCTAACATAGTTGAAGCATCGTCTTCAGACTATTATTTCATTTTGGAATATTCTCCCTGTAGAGGGACATGCCCGACTTGAAGCTACGTATGGATGTGATCCGGTAAGTTGCCCTTGTAGGCAAGCTCGTTTCCCATTGTTTTCACATTGCGCGGAGACAGCGAAATTGAACGAGAGCCCAGTACACTTATGGACCCGAGTTGTTGTGCAACGCCATGGGCACGAATGGTAAGGGGAATGCCTGCACGATCGCTGCCTCTCTGCTCGATCCTGTGGCTGCCACCAAGGTTTGGAGTTATACGGCCTCAAATATGCATCGGACCCTGGAGCCTCAAAGCAATCCCGCGGATGCTGTATTGTTTTCAAATGTTGTTGAGTGTTTCCGCATCAATGTGGGCTCAAGGCCTTAACCCAAGGTCATCGCTGGATTCGCCCAGTCGCGGTTTGCCCGACGCCAGCAAAGTTTTTGTTGGCCGTGGGCCTGGCCAGAACAGCATTGCTCCAATGCCAAACCTCGGCCACGTCAATCAATCACCGCCACTCAAAATTCCGAAGTTGCCACTCTGCAGTCCAAGAAGTGACACAACCAGTCCAAGGATGACAAAGCCAAGTCCACTCTGCAGTCCAAGGATGACACAGCCAGAAGAGCTATTCTCCGGGCTGCCAGATCGCCCCGAACCTGATGCATTCCGCCGTACGCTCATGAAGTTGCTCGCAGCCCACCAGCGCGAGGTAGATTGGCTCGAAGAAGTGATCTCGAGGCAGCAGGTCTATGTGACAGCGCGGGGCCCGCCCGAGCGCAAGCATCATGAGGACAATCCGCTGGTCTTAGATGATAGCAGTATCGTGCGTTCAGAAGCAAGTGGCATCCGTGGATGTCCTGAGGGCATCGATGCGTCTCCATCAGCAAGGCACACCGATCCGTCTCCATCACCAAGGCGCCCCCCGCGCGAGGTATCCTTCAGTACCGAAGGGTCAAGCTCAGACGAGGGCGAGGAGAACATCGAAGACCAGGGCGACTCCCTCCCCAAAATTGCCAAGGCGAAGTTTTCGACGATGGCCGTAGACAAGGCAGACTCTGAGGACGATTCTGTGGGTCAGCTCGGCCATGGACAGTACATGTGGCAGTGGCGGCGCACCAAGGGTGGTTTTCGCAACTACAATCCGACTCAGAATGACCAGATTGAGGAGGCCTACAGGCGTGGCCTGTCTAAGGTGCGATTCAAGAGCGGCCAGGATGGTCAGACAGTGATGGAGATTCTTGGGCTTACTCCACATCCGCCGACCCCATGGAGAACGGGCGGTGATGGTGGGTTGCTCCTGGGAGCCTCTTGGGCGCCTTTGGAGGGCTTTTTGGTGCCCTTTTGTGAGCTTCATGGGGGCCTATGGGGGGCCTCTTGGAGCTTCGTGGAGGGTTCTCCCGGGTCTTGGGGGCCGAGGCCTCGAAATGCGGGCTCGGGTTTCCCTCTGGGGCCCTTCTTGCGGTGGTCCAGGGGCTCTATTGGGCCATGTTGGAGGTCTCTGAGGCCGTCTTTGGAGCCGTGTGGGTGGTCTCGTTGCCTGTTTAGGGGCTCTCTTGGAGGCCTCTGGGGCCGTCCGTAGGGATGTTGAACACCACGTGAGCCGTCGTGGAGCGTCGGGAAACCGAACAGGCGAGAACGCTAAACTCTTTTAAGTCGGATTGAAAATCAATGAATTGGTGGTCGGAGGCTACGCGGGTGGCGGACGGGGCCTCGTGAGAGGCGTCTCAGAAGCTTTTTGGAATCAGTTGTTGAACCTCTCGGGGGCCTCGTGGAAGCCTCTGAGGAGCTTTTTGCGGCCTCGCGGAGCTTTCCGGGAGCGTGTTGAGGGTTTCTTGGGACAACGGGGCTGTGGTTCGGGGTAGAAGGCTCGACGTGTCCGTGTGGGTTCCCCCTCTGGACCCCCTCTTGGGGCCGTCGCGGGGCCCTCAAGGGCCGTCGTGGGGGCTTTTGAGCGGTCTTGGGCCGTCTTGGGAGCCTTGGGCAGTCTGGAGATCTTTCGGCGGCTTGTGGCCCTCTTGGACCATCTAGAGTGCCCTTGGTGCCCTCGTGGCCTGTTTTGGGGCCCTCTGTCCCCCCGTTTGGGTCGTCTCATGAGAAACCTCTTGGGGGGCCTCTTGGGGCGACCCAGGAGGCTTCGTGGGCTGTCTTGGATGCTATGATCATAGGAGGGGCGAATGTGCTAAATCTGCGTCTTTTCCGATGGCAATTGGGCGATGTATGCTTTTTGAGGCCGTCTCGGGACGCCTCTTGAGGGCTTCTAGGGCCGTCTTGGGGGCCTCTTGGGCAGTCTGGAGCAGATCGTTCGGCGGCTCGTGGCCCTCTTGGGCCGTCTCGAGAGCCTCTTGCAGCCCTCTTGGCATGTTTTGGGGCCCTCTGTCCTCCCGTTTGGGTCGTCTGAGAGACCTCTCGGGGGCCTCTTGGGCCGTCTTGGGGCGACCCAGGAGGCTTCTCGGGTTGTCTTGGATGTTGTGATCGCAGGGGAGGCACATGTGCTAATCATGATGGTTTCCCGTGGAATTCGGGCGATGTGTGCTCTTTGAGCCCGTCGTGGGACTCCTCTTGAGGGCTTCTTGGGGCCTCTTGGGGGCCTCCTTGGCCGTCTGGAGGCCAGCGTGGGCGTTGTCGATCGATCCTTCGGCGGCTCGTGGCCTTCTTGGACCGTCTAGAGGGCCTTTACGTGCCCTCTTGGCATGTTTTGGGGCCCTCTGCCCCCGTGGCGCGTTCGGGCGGTCCCTGGAGGACCCCCCCTCTCCGAATCGGCTCGTCTCTCGGAGGAGGGGGCTGGGGAGGGGGAAAGCAGTTTACACGCCGATGAACCCCAAGGGGCCGGCTGATTTTTTTCGTCGATATGTTCCAACTGGACCCCACGTAACATGCGGCAAATTCGTCGGGTTGGTGCCAAGATTTGGTACGTCGAGTGGGGGCGCCATATCCAAGCCATGGCGAGAGCGATGTATACAGGCGGGCCAAGCTGGGAGTCCTACGAGAGGTACAAGAGGCGCCAGCATGCTCTACTCGGAATAGAGGAAGGCGAGGTTGAGAGCGGCATGCGCTCCACGCACTCCGCGGGGATAGCCACCACCGTTTCCTCTCAATGCGCGTACTCTGAGAAAGCCGACAACGTCTGCACCAGGATCACTGAGAGCCCAGCCTTTCTGACGGTCTCGATGTTTTTCACGTTGCTGAACGTGGTGTGGATCGGGATCAGCACGGTGCTTGGCGAGTTCAACCAGAGCCTGTGGGATCGGCAAATCGAATCAATTATCCAGCTGCCTGTGGCAAGCCTTGCCGGACAAGAACGGGAAGCGCCGCTTTAGTCAAATGAGTTTATTGGGTGAAGAATTGTAAAAGGAAGGCGAGGGAGACGAGGAGGCGATGACGATGACGACGTGGAGAACGTGAGGATGGCTAGGAGGAGCATGAGGACAACGAGGAGGAAGAGAAGCACGAGGACGATGACGAAGAGAATGAGGGCGAGTACGAGGAGGAATGCAGAGGACGATGACGACGACGACGACGACGACGACGACGACGACGACGGAGGACAGAAACAGGCACCAGGCAAGTGGAGAAGGACGTTGAATCAGGAGAGGCTTCTGGTGAGCCTATCGGGCTCCCCTGGGGGCTCCTGGCGCCGCGCGGGGTTGTCTTGGGGCCTGTCGGGGGCTTCTTGGGGCCCTCTTGGGTCCTCTTGTCGGCTTCTGTGGTCTTCTGGGGCGCTCTAGGCGCGTCGTGGGGTTCTTCGGGAGCTTTCTTGGGCCGTCTCAGCACCATCTGGGGCCGTCTGGGGGCTTTCTTGGGCCGTTTGGGGGGGGGCTCCTGGGGCGCTCCCGGGAGTCTCTTGGGGCCCTCTTGGCCCGTCTTGGGCCGTCTTGGGGCTCCCCTAAGGTGCCTCCTGGAGCGCTCTTGGTGGTCTCCTGGGGCCCTCTTGGGGCGCTCTTGGGTGCTCTAGGCGCCCTCTGGGGCGTCTGTTGGGCCTCTTTTCCTTGAGGGTCCACCGTTAGTTAAGGTGTACAGAGTTATATGCTTTAATTACCAACGTGCTCGAATTAAAAACAGAGGTCCCCTGCGATTTCTATGTTGGCTTCATGATAACTGCATGCTAATGTGATTCCGCCCCACCTTTCCTCCCTCCCTCCTCTATTTGTTTCCCGTTTCTGGGCGTGCGGACGGCGCGTGGCTTCACTCAGTGAAGCCGTCGCCGCTGGTTCGCCTACCTGTCCCTCCCGCCGTCCTGGGCCGCGCGCGCCTCCGCCGCGATCGCCAGGCGCTCATCGACCATCCTCTCGGCCGTGGGCGCGTCGACGTTCCGCAGCTCCGCAATGAGGCTCAAGGCGCAATTCTGGACGCACTGCTGGCCGCAGCGATGCCACCAGGAACCGCCCTGCAGCTGCACGAAGCGCCATGACCCCATGTCGTCCGCAGCGCCGAGGGCGCCGCACGTGGGGCATCAAGCGTCCCAGACAGCCATCTGTACAATAGCGAAGTCGCTGGCAGCTTGCAAGACAAACCTGTCGGCCAAAAACGGCTGCGGCAAATACATGAAGAAAAAGGATGAATAGCACGAGCACGATTGGAACTCGGACGGCGCGGGGAGAGGGCGGCGCAGGGTGAAACCCCGAGGCAGATCGAGATGCCCCTCCTGCACAGGGGGGAGAAGGGAATACGATCTTCGGTTTTGAGAAAGCCGCAGCGATCCCATCACAAGATCCGCACGAACGGCTGCGAGAAAACTATGGACATCAATGCGACGCTGAATCCTTTGGGCGCGAGCACGCTGCCGCGACGCTTGGCGAAGTAAGCGCCCGCGCCCCCGAAGCCCTCGTCTGTGTAAGTCCAGCATGTCCCGGGCTGATGCCCCTGCAGGGCTTCTAAGCTCATCTCGAGCAATTGGTGCATCTCCGGTGTCATTTGATGCACTCTGGGGCGCATGCCGCGCAGGGCGGCGCGTTGCAGGCGGAACTTGATCGACAGGTCACGCAGAATTTCCTTTTTCATGTTACCAGTTCGCGAGCAAAGGTGACGCTAATACAAATGAAACACAGCATGCCTCATCGCTGCCTCACCAACGACACTCGGGTCGCACAGCTCGTCGGCGAGCGTTTTCCCAGACGGCATCATATGTCGGATGACAACAGCTTGCCCTGAAAAGGCGCATATTTTTGTTGTGTCTGGTGGTCTTTATGGTCAAGGAGTGGATTCGATCCGTTTTTTTTCTGGTGTCTGCTCGCACCCAGCATTCAGGCGCTCCCATGGCGCTTTGCACAGTTCGCCGCACGCGGGGCCAGTACATTTTTCAATTGCAGTCATCTGAAGAACCTTTGCAAATCAACTGCGGGTAATCAATCGATTCTCTTGACCGACTGGTCTACCCATGGGATTGACATCGTTGGCGAGATAGTAACACCCTGTTCCATTAAGTGTTGGATCAGCTGCGTCTTCGCGCGCCCGTTGCTTCGCCGCGGCGCCGCGTTGCCGACGTGCTCTGGCTGGAAGACCTGCGCGGGCGAGGGGGGGGGTTCGGGGGGCGGGGAATGAGGGGCCTGCTGCGGCGTCGCGCGGCACATCCAGCAGCGCCCCGCCTTCTCGTTGGACTGCGGGAGCCCGGGCGCCTGTTCCCAGCGCCCCCAATCTGCGCGCTTCTGCGCCAGCGCAGACCTGTAGCCTAGATCCGCGCCAGCCTTCTTGCTCCCGCGAAAGTCAGACTTCGACCAAGCTCTGGCGCCGTGGCGGGCCGCGAGGTATTTGCCCGCAGCCGCGGGCAGAAAACTCAAAGAAATGACATTGAAAACGCCGTGCCACATGTTCGTGCTCATGGTGGCCTTCATCAGCCCAGCGATGGGCGCGCGTCGCTTGTGCGCCTCCATCGTTTTGGGCAGCCCTGGCAAATTTAAGCGCTCGGTTTTTACTGACCGGTCGCGGCCCCGCTGGCACGGGGCGCTGTCGGCCCGCGGGCCCGCGGGGATCGTCGAACCGATTTGCATTAATGAGAGGCAGCGTTGCACGTGGCTCTGCCTAACTTTATCCAGACCGCCGGTGTCCTCCAGTTTTTTCCCACGTGCCGCATTGCGCCACTTGGGCAAAGTATTCGCGCGGCAAGTCGAACGCGACCCGCTCCATCTGCTCGCAGCCGCGCCTCCTGTTCCAACGACGGACCTCTGCGAAGTACGTCCCGGGCCACAAACTACCTTGAAGAAATCGCCTCCGCAGCCGCCTGGATGCACTGCTGCCGACGTTTGCCCACTTGCTGACGTCCTTCCTGCGCGCTCCTCAGTGGCCGGTCAGGCCGCCCGCTCCTCCGTGGCCTGCCGGGGGGGCGTCGCCTTGGAGCGACTGGGCCTGGGAGTAGGTGAGCGCGTTGGTCGTCGCCTTCGCGCCCGCGTTTGCCCTCGACCTCCTGTTATGAGGAAGAGACGCAGTATCATAATGGCGCTCGCATTTGTCGAGCACTTCTGCCCTCGGAGACTCTGGCGACCTCGAGCCGCAAAGCTACTGCGGAAGACGTCGCGGACGACGGGTCGACATCGGCGGCCTTCCTGCGCAGGGCGGCAAACGAGAAGCCGATTGCGATGTTTTCCAGGTCGCAGCGGCAGCGAACTCGCCGTTCTGGCACGCGGCTGCAGCAGTGAAACCATCGAGGGCCACCAGGATATGCAACAACACGTATGCGGAAAACGCTTCCTGGATCTATCATCGTCTTCCTGTTGTCCTGTTATTCCCCCCTTCATCCCCCCATCCTCCTCCCTTTTCCCCTTTCGCCCCTCCTATCTGCGCGTGCCGGGGCCTCGCGCGTACTCGGGGAGCCCGATATATTTGCTATTTGCTCTTGGGGGACTTCGACCCTGTCAGGCGGCGTTCGAGAATTTCCTTCGCGTCGGCAAGCTGCCTCTGGAGAGCGGGCAGCTCCTTTGCGCCCGGGGCGCGCGCCTGCTATGCCATGGCGATCTTGCAGTAGCACTCGTCCACGAAGTTACACGGGACGCGGATGCTGCCCTCGATCTTCTGCGAGTAGTCCGACCACGGCCTCTTCGAATTCTCTTGAAAGCCTCGCCCTTCGCCGTCAGCTGGCTCTTGCACTCGCGCGGCGACATCTGGGGCCCATGCACCCCGTGCGAATCATTCCTGGAACAGAGAAACAAATCACCCGACCGCCCCCATTCCCGCCGCCCCTGGCCGCCGCGTCTGGCCCAGGGGGCGGCGGAACGCGGGGGCGGGGGCGATGGTCTTCCCCCCATTCGGTTTCGATTCTCACCCCCCCCCCGGGATCAGCGGGCGTTCGCCCTCAATCTCCACTTTCGACTCTGACGACGGGGCCGGCGGTCCAGATGGCGCGCCTTGCGCGTCGCATACGCTCGCGAGGTGCGAGCCGCTCTTCACGTCTGCGCCGCCGGATATTCTTGCATTGCTTCTGCGTTTAGGTTTTTTTTTATTTGTGCCCTTCGTCCTCGACGAAGAAATGCCTGGTCAACTCCCCATTCGTGTCATGAGTTGCTGGTGGATGGGCCTTCCTGGCGTCGAACTCTTTCGCGTTCTCTTCGTGCAAGTCGACGGCGAATGCGATCGTTTCCTTGCGCGTGTCGAAATCAAAGAGTGCGTGGCCCTCCAGCTTGAGAATCTGCGTCGGGATATGGTACCTGTCCTTGCACGGAAACGCATCCTCTTGAACGTGGTCGCTTGATTGTTCGAAGTGCGCGGCGAACTTCAAGTTGCCCGCAGCCCTGCCGCGCCCGCCCCCCCCCCCCCCTTCCCCCGCGCAATTTCAACGGGGCGTTTCTTCTCCTCTTGGTTCACAAGCTTGCCCCACTGCGCCTGGCATTCCTTGGCGGTTTTCTTTCCGCCATCGTCGCTACCTGCGCTGCTGCTCTGGCGCCGCGAGGAAGTGGGCGTCCGATCCAGCTTCCCGCGGTCGAGGGCGGTGCACTGGGGAAGGGCCTTCGCCTATTTCTCAGGGGCGCAGACGGCGACGGCGACGCCCATGGCAGCCGCTGGCAAGCAGTGCGGCACGCGCGCCAGGAGGGCGAGGAATTGCGATTGCGTCGCTGCTCGCAAGATCAGCGCGGCGGGCACTCGATCAGGAAAACTAGACAACTAAAGTGCTGGGGCCGCAATGGCAGCGCAAGTGCCGCAAGGAGAGCCGCGGCGTTTCGCGCGGTCGAGTTGCGCGATCGAATGGCAAACCATTGTGCCAAAATGGCAAGATGTGAATCCCTATCCGCATTCTCCCTCCCCTCGCCCCCCCCCCCCCCCCCTCCTGCATCCTTCTCCTCGGGG